GCCACTCCGAGTTGGAGCCCAGGAGTCGGGGCATGCAATTTACATATAAACAATGCGAGCGATGTGGCAAGTTGGCAACGAGCTGCAAACAAAGCGAGATCCGAACAAAAAGTCCTACGTCTGCTCTTGGCACGCCTCTTTATGGGGGTTCCAAGTCCGCCAGTCCCAAGTCCCAAGTCCCAGATCCCAGGTATTACAGCGGAGATGACATAAGTAGCATCAGAGCTATACCCTGATACAATCAGCCACTGGCAGCTCTCCTCCACCTCCACCACTCATCGCCCAACAATGCACCGGGGCAATTAAAGTGTTGGCTTTTGGATTTGGAAAAAATATTCGGGTATTATTAGCAAATGTCAACTTTTGGATGCGCTTTTAAACATGCGCAGATCGCTCAGGGAGAGTCCTATATGGCGACTATAATTGGGTAACTGCGCCTGTTCTTTGTTCGCAAAATGCACACGAAATAAATAAGGTTGTGGTAACGTTTATGCCGAAAACTAAAATATACAAATAATATTATTATAAGAAAATTCCCAATAAATAAGTACATGGGTTTATATATTATATTATACATTAACTTCATCTCAAAAGATCTCTGCAATTGCAACTATCCCTTTTGCATTTCTTATTCGCGTCTAGTATTTCCCAAGCTTAAATGAATACTTTTTTAACATCGTTTTTTATATTTATTCAATTAATAACTTACTTTGCCTCTGGCGGCATTTTATAGAGTCCAAAATACATTCATTGGCAAAAGTGCAAGTAGTAGTCCTAGAACCCCTTCTCAAAGTGGCACAAAGAGGCTTATAAATCTTTGTGCAACTCTGATTGCATTTTATTGAAGAGACCCCTTCCACAAAGACCAGAACACTCAAGGATATGACAAAAATAATAAAGCTACCCCTCATGTTGTATATGATAAGGTTAACAGATATGCAATAAGTTTAAAAGTTTAGAATGCAGTATTTATAGAGCAGAGCTTGAAAGGAAAGTTCATAAAGCAGATGTACCTATTTTATTCATTCTCCAAAACATATGTTGAATTGTTAAGTGTAAGAACGTGTAAGGGCAGAAGTTCTTTTAAACAATTTGTAATATAAAGATATCTTACTTAAAAACTCTGTAAATTTTTATAGATTATATTCTGCATTATTCTAGCAGCATTAATAATTCATTTCTTTTGGTGCATGGACAGTTGCTATTTTTGCCGAAAAAGGTCGGATTTTGCCGCCAAAATGTGTGCCATCCCAGATACACCGAGTGGTTGTGACTGTGGCTGTGACCAAGTGCCACGGATTAGCCAGCACTGCTTCGCTGCGATGGATTTTTGTGTAAAAGTCGTTTGGCCAGCCATCGACGAGGCGAAATTAATTGACTCTTGCGGGCAGGTGTAAAGATTGCATATGCATGCGAGTGCGCATAAATTGTGGCCGCTGTGGCAGTGCTGGATTGGCTTTTGGCATCGGCTCTTGGCCAGAAGGACGTTGCGTGCTGGCCTTTCACAAAAGCTGTCGCCCCAAAGGCGAGCAACAATTAATTGACTTACGCAGTGGCCCGCTGCCCCGCTGCCAGCAACTCTGATCTGCATCTCCGGTGCGGCAATTAAATCTACGGTCTGCATTGCATTCGATATCGGTTCGGTAGCCCCCGATCTGTGAGCCTAGTCCCCTCCTTCGCCCCCATTTTGGCACGCGCATGGGCGTGGCATGTCGGGCTAATAAAAAAATCACCGACCCGAGTGTCTGTGTGGGCGAATGCGTTTTGTTCGCATTCTAATTGCCCTGTCATGACGGCTAATGAACTGCACTGCGATCGTAAACGAAACGAACCGAAAACCAGCTCCACGTTTCTGTGAAATATTTTAAGGGCAGCCTTGAACCAAATCCGCTTCTGTGCGAAAATACTCGCTCACAAAGCAGCCGAAATGAAAGCAAACTCGCTGGTAACCAGATTTAATAAGCATTTAACGCGTAAAGTCTTGCGAAACTGCAAATTATGGCCAGTCAACGGTCAAGAGTGAGCAAATCTTCGGTTAATTTGGTGGGAACTGAGATTAATCAGATTTTAAGGTCTTGAAATTCCACAAGATTCCATTATTTCTAGATCGCATCGAGCCTTAAGGGTGTCTTAATATTTATTTATTGTATTTTTTTTATGGTAAAAAATTCAGAGGATACAAGTGACAATTATTTAAGTTCCTTTGGTCTTTCAGAGGCCCAGATCATCAACACCTATAGAATGCAGTTTACTTTCGAATAGTATCGCAGTCGGGAGAATCACGCCAGCACTTCCTATCCTCATCTCGAATCTGCCAATCTGTTAAATAAATGTTTTAGTTATCATGTGATAATACATTTTACTTAGTTCTCATGCACTTACTTTGACCCGTTAGGCATATCTGATTTTCCAAAGTGCAAGGATTGGGGAAAGTGCAGACACTGGTTCGGCCAGCCCTCTTCCAAACAGCACACCTAGGCCTATAATCCCTTGTGCAGGCTCGAGGACACGGAGGAGGCAGAACAGGAGGCCTAACCCTAATACCTTCAGCCAAGGCCAGGACACTCAGGGAAATGAGCATAACGATACAGACACCCCTCATGTTGTAAGCTCAAAAGTTCTGAGACTAAAAATGAGCCTATCTACTTTAGCTAGGGTATTTATAAGAATCAATAACAAAGAGTAACATATTTTTTTGTGGCATTCATTCACGAAGCAGATGTTCAACATACAAAAATTACAATATGCTTAATGTAAGCAGGTGCTTTTAAACCCTTTCAGCTAAATACTGGGGTTCAGTGAACCCTGGAAAGGCGATACCTATAAAAGGTATATCATTTTACTTGGTCAGTGGAAAAGAAAGCCACGGCCCAACTGTCAAATGAAAAGTGAAAGGACTTAAGTGCGTTATTGTTTCCCTTACAGCTTATATAAGCAAATCTACGATGCCCAGGGAGCTGTGCCCTTCGTCAAAACGAGACCCTCAATAGAGATGAAAAGCATATTACTTTCACTATTTATTGCTGAGTGTTATTACAGCTTTACTTATTATCAACAATCATTGAAGATCTTGGGGGAAATTGCACATAAACAGCTGCTATCTATTTTATTTTTTTTATTTTATATATTAATTAATGAACTATTGTTGTAATTTGATGGTAAAAGTATTAAGACAGCAGTGGCCTTCTTTTTAATTGCATTTTATGATTAGAACACATAAAAAACGAATGGTTTTTTAGCTAATAACAATTATAATTTAATTTAATTAATTCTACTCCAGGCTGCAGACTCTTATAATTAAACAATTAATTACTTTCAAAATTTCAATTAATTTACTTCAAGCACTTTAAGCTCTATGTGTGTTAAGGGGTGTCCGAGGCCAGCCTCTTTTTCGATTATATAAGAAGCGGGGCGTGGCATTTCTGGGACTTTCACTGCTGGCCAAAGCCGCAGGGCAGCATTAACAATAGCAATCAATATCAATACTCACCAAGAGCCGTTAACAATTGTCCGAAAATATGGGGTTTTGTTTTTGGCTTTCGTTTTGTGAGGCGACAAAAGCTAACAAGCGATTAACACGCGCTCCAAGTCATAAATCTGAGCGCATTAAAGCCGCGAAATAAAGGCAAGGTTGCCAGTTGCCAGATGTCAGATGTCGAATTCCGACGAATAAAGAAACGCCCCTTAACAATGGCTTGTCTGAAGACAATGCAGACCGGGACATGGGTTCCATTGGCTGCCAATCGACAGACCACTCAGCTACTGAGGGACCAAAATATGGAAAAATATAACCTTAGTTGGCATACAATTTTTTGGAATTTATGTTTACAATTTTATTTCTCAATGAATAGATCCTTTTAATTTTGTTTTATAAATTATAAAATTCCGGTTTCAATGAATGAATAGAAAACTGGTTCTAAGATCTTAAGTCTTTTGGTCTTTAATCAAGTAACAACTGCAATTACATTATAAGATCTCTGTACATACATATGGGTAATATTTTGTTTATACTTTCAAAACTTATGCAAAATTCTTTACAAAAAAATACCAAAGTAAACATCTTGCTAACCTAATGTGTCTGCAACTCAATTTGTCAAACTCTGGCCCAACTTTTAGACTGTTCAACGTGCCAACTGTTTAATGCTTTTGGCCGCAGGCGTGTTTCTGTTTGTCAACGGGGCGTGTCGCCTCCGCTGCATATGTGCTTTTATATTGACGTACTAATTTGCCAACTCTTGCCTCAAGTACTTTATCAAAAAACAAACCCACTAATGTCTACATTTCATTTGCAGAATACTTCTACTATCTCTGGTGGCTGTGGCGCGTGCGCAGTACCATCAGTTCGGCGAGCAGCTCCAGACATCTCACGGCTCCGACTGCGCCCTTCTTCTGGCCGGACCCGGTCGCTCCTCCGTCTACGACTACAACGTGAACCTATTTCGCGGCACTTTGTGAGTACAAATAGAAACCGAGTGTTTGGCTATGCGGAATGGCGGAAAGAGCCCCATTCGGTGGCATTCTGGGTTATGTTTGGGTCTCAAATATTTGAGTGTTGACACCGAAACGTGGTGCAGAGAGGGAAAAAATGGAACTTTGGCAAGGCTTAAACAGTACAAAATATTAGAAAATCATAAAGAATTCACCAAAACCGATTTTGCTGATATTTTCTCCCTGTGTACGAATGCCAGACTGACACCCATAAATCTTGGCTTGCACTGTTCCAGCTTGTTTGAGCGGCTGCAACACGGCTCTACACCTACGACAACACGGCGTAGTACGAGCTTTGAGCTAATCATTAGCAGCAGAAACAGCGGCAGCCGCCTGTTGACGTTGATTTTTTCAACCTGCAATGCCTAGAGGGGGAGATATATCTATATGTGCATTTTTTCTTCTGTTTTTGCAGAGGCCTGCTGAGCGGGTAGCCAAGTTGGTGGTAAGATTTGACAGGCGATGTCTTCATTGCCGCTTAAAAGGGCGGCAAATCAAAGTCTTTCTGGGGTTTTCAATTTATTTATTGTTATTTTAGTCATCATCGTGTACGCCTCGTAATGTAAGCAGCTCCGTTTTATTGCTAAAATAATAAATAATTTCATCACAATTTCGGCCAGGAGTTTCGCAGGGCTCCGTGCTCATTGTGTGCCATTCTGCAAAATATAAGTTTATTATGTTTAGGTATATTATAGAAGAATTATTTTATATTTTAATCTTATTTCCCAAAATACTCACTTTGTTTGGTTTTGCAAGTGTAGAGAATAAGGAGGCACAGGTTGAGGAAGGTGCAGTGGTTTGGTAATTCGGATTCGAATCTAAACCCACAAACTGGTCGATAGTTCAGGCGACAAATTGAGGGGCAGCCCGCTAACACCTTGAGAACATTGTCCAGGCAAAAAAGAGCGACAAAGGTGATGATCAGGACTATGAAAGTTAGGGATCGCATGGCACTGGTTCTCTTGCAATTGGTTCAATGAATATAGCCGACTCCAGCTACTCCCTTATATATCCGTCCCCGGAGGCGACAAAAACATTCCTTCGTCTCCGATTACACAGGTCTGTGTTCTCAGCTGTGATGATGGTGGCTCCTAACGTTTCACCCGCTGTCACGGCGGCTCGTTAACGGCAATCAGCAAATGCTTTTTGGCCTCGAATAGCGTCGACAGCTTGGTGGCTGCAGCTTTAGCCTGCCTTTTAGCTCCAGAGTCATGTGATGCAGACGGACGCATCATGAAGTCACCTGACAGACATCGGCGCGATTTATTAGTAAGCGAAAAAAAATGAAAACCGCACGACAAAAAGCCGCAGCGGCAGCAGCAGCAGCAACCCAAAACAAATGGCATTGCAACACTTGCAGATGCCAAAGGAAAAATAAAACTAAAAATAAAAACACTAAAATGGAATAAAAACACCTGAGATGCCGTGGGGCTGTAGCCACCATTGATGGCAAACTTTTGTCTCGAGATGATTTCGAAAAGTGACTTTGAAATGCTGCCAACACACAATGCCTCCCGAGCTGAACTTGCACGGCAAGAAATGTCACAAAAAAATATATATTTAAGGTCAAAATACTAAAACCTTTGACTGTTTTCTCAAAAATAGATATAAAAATCTCGGAAGAGAGGAAAATAGTTCTTGTATATGCCTTCAGTAAATATTTATATGTAATTAAATTTCATTCCTTGAAATCTCTAATCTTTAAACAAACTAAATTGCGCATATAACACAAAGATTTCCTATTTTTCAGTTTAAGAACGAATTAATATGGCTTACACGTAGACTTCTTTCGGTGTAGCACTTATGGCAGCGCATAGATATACATATTTTAAATGTCACACGATCCAGATAGCGATTGCAAATTGTTCAATTGCCCGATTGTCTTTGCCAGTTTCGAGAGCTTAGGGGTCATCGAGAAGTGGAGCTAATTTTTGGGGTCGCCGGGCAGCCAAAACGTGAGTCGTTATCGCTGACTTTGGCCTGGGTATTGAACCTGGCTTTTAGCTGTTGCCAGTTGTCTTTTGCCTGTTGCCTGTTGGCAACCAACTGCCGGTCAGATGGGAAAATAAAGGAAAATTGGCCGCAACAACCTACTTAAAAACTTAAATACAGGTTTTCGCAGGGGCCACTTTCGTTGCGGCCTCTGCTCCGTCTGCGGAAAGTCTGCAATTGTATCTGCATCTGCATCTGTATCTGAATCTTTTTCCATCCACTGTCTGCGTAAGCGAAGTAGCTCCCCAGAGACGCCGACTCTCCGACTCGGGCTCAGACCCCCAAAAAAAGATTGTAAAAGGCCGAGAGACCCACGTTCGCATAGATAAATGATATTTGAATATTTTTCACAGCGAGTTTACGACACGCTTTTGCAATTATTCACAATATTACGCATACGCCGTGTGCGCTGCCGCTCCACTGCAACTCAATACCGATCAGGAAGTGTGTTGGCCGGCTCGAAGCTGCGCGCACCTGCGATCGGCGCCCGGGATTCATAACATTAGTTTATACTTTACAATCAGGATAACAAGTACAAGTCCGTGTCTGGGGCGGGACGGGCTGGGGCTTGGGTTTGGGTCTGGAATCGGGCGGAGCTGAGAGGATCGGCGGAGGGGCTTCGCTTAAAATGCATAGTGCGTGCCGCATGCGAGCCACTTTCTAGTTGGCCCAAAACTCTGGCTATGCGCACATTGAACTTACCGGAGTGCCGTAAATTTTGTGATCCTTTTTTTGGGTTTTTTTTTTTGGATTTGTGTGTTTGTTTTTGTTGTGGCTTAAATTAACCGGCAGACCAGTTAAGTGCCAGACATTGCCATTTTCGATTTCAATTTGACAAATTTGCCCAAGAAATATGCGAGAAAAGTTGGTTGGAGCAGCGGCGACTGTGAGTAACTCTATAAAATGGAGAAATTAAATATAAATAATTGGGTTTTTAACAATAAAAAAGACAAATTAAATGTAGTTAAAACAAATTAAAGATTATTTTCTGCATTCAAATTTAAATAATAGAATTAATAGATTAAAACTCGAATAATTAAAGTTAATAAATTGTATTTAATATTGAAAACATTTTTATTTAGTTGTTTTAAAAGGAATAGATTGAGTTAAATCAATATATGGGGTGCTAGAATAGAAACTAAACTAATATTACATATAATTCTTATTAGTTTTTGATACCCGAGTAAACCTAGATAATTTTGTATTATCTGAAATGTTGTTAATTTAAATTCACACATTTTTCTAAAATTCCGTTCATAATTTATGAGTTAAAGAAGTCAAACCCATATCGAAGTACCCCCCTAGAAAGAGTATATTGTCTGCAAGATCGTGAAAAATGCAGCTTTTAGTCGAAATGGTTTTGCATTGCGTGTGCTGGCCATGCCTCTTATGCCTTTTTGTCTCTGAATATTTTCATCGGCCGAGACTGCTTTTAGGCTGAATCTGCTGCTGCTCTGGATGTTGTTGTAATTACTTAATACTTACGCATTGTTAACACGCATCGTTGTCGCCTGACACGCGTTTTACATGTCGCACCATTCGAGGAAGTTGCCTGCCGGCCCCCATTTTTGGTTAGATTTTTCCCGGGCCACCGAGCTCAGCGCAGCTCGACATAAGAAATTTGCGTGTTTTTGGCATTTAATTAACAAACCGGCTGGCGAAAAGCGAGTAATGTGGCTGGCAAAATGCAATGTTAAAGTTAAGTTTGTTACTGTAACAGTAACAGTTGGCCATATTTTTGTCTGTGTTTGGTTTGTCCCGTCTGCAGATGGAGATGTTGGGGCAGCCGCCGTTTCCTGTCACGAGGAAAACCCACTGGCAGCCGGTCCAATTTAGTCGTATTCCGCTCCAATGGTCAGACTGATGGCTCCCGGCTGCACAAAGGTCTGGTGGTACCATTTGTTTGTGTCCAGCACAACTGCAAGGAGGCCAAGAAAGTTATGTGCTTCCTAAGTAGTTGGTTTCAACCCATATTTCTCTGGGCTAAAGAAATATTTCTTCGAGAAGAAATTCCCTAAAACTAAGGATATACCTATACTTACTTATATCGCCCTGCTGGACAACCACATCGAAGCTCTTGCACTGCAGGTAGCACTCGGGCGGTGGAACCAGTAGCCAACGTTTGCTGCCCGCCAACTGCGCCTGCCACGACGGCAGTCTCACGTTGTCAATCTGAATTATATAAATCAATACAGACAATATTTGATGATTTATTTTCCTTAAAATTTATAGTAATGTCACCCTGCTAGTATGTTAAACTGGCGAACCCGACAACTTTAAAATAGAATCAATTAGCTTTAATGGATTTCTGCTAATTGCAAAGTGAAAAACAATTTCTATAATTTATAGAACTGAGAATATAAAAGCTTAAAGCACATAAATATGAGTAATGACAGGTTGTTATCCCATTTACTCACATGCATTTGCGCTCCCAGCCCGGAACTGCCTATGAAGAACCAATCGACTGCATTATTCTCCGAACTTTCGGGCAGAAAGTAGGGTCTTCCATAGTGTCGGCGGAATTCCTCAGCCGTTTCGGCATGACAATTGCTCCAGCCAAAATACCAGGGCTGCTCACCCGGCCTCAGATTCACCCGATCCTCGGGCATATCTAAGGCTTCATATATGTCCTGGAATCCTGTTTTGTATGGCAGAAACTGGCATTCCCTTATATGCTGCTTTTGCTTGGCCTTGGCATAGACATCACGAAAGTACCAATAGTTGAAGAGCTAAATAATTCATAATATAATTTTTATATAGTTTATGTTTTTGGTATAGAGTTACCGAAACTGCTGTCCAGTTTTGGGTGGCATCACTGACAATAACCGGGGCAGCACTATAGGCGAATTTTTGCTCAAACTCTTGGGGGCTTATGTTTTGTAGGCGGGGCACATTTTTAATATTTTCACAAAAATCACAACTCTCGGGCGGTCGGAAGGCATAACGCAAGGTGCGTGGCAGAGAAAAAACACAATTCTAAAATTGATAAATATTAATTTGATGAAATAGAAATAAAATACAGGAATTTAAGGTAAAGAAAAACGCTTTTAATTATAAAGTTATTAAGAAAATAATAAAGAGAGTTATTTTTAAATTCACATACCTTTCCCTGAAGTTCCTCGTAATAGTATTTCCCAATGAGGTACAGAAAAATAATCAGCAAAACTAATTTCAACCACTTCATCCACTTTTCAAATCCTTCATGTTCAAGGCAAGATTTCTGCAATAATTCCTGAATCCTTTTATCATATAAGTCCGCCTTATGGACACTCAGTATTTCCACAAGTTTACTGCGAGCCCGCTTCAGGTCTCCCTTATCCTTCATCCTTACGATGCTGCTGTGGCCACGTCAAGTTCGCTACTGAACACAGAACTTGGCTTTGTTCTTTTAACGTGGCTTTTTAGCTCGTTGGCCCGGCAATAATTTGGTTATCTGGCACTGCGCAGGCCTTCCAGAGGGTGGTTGCGTTTGTGGTTAGCATGTGATAAGGGACAAATTGCCAGTTACAGTCAATTGAAATCACTTTCACTTCAATTTACTTGCAGAAATCCCTACAACAATGGACCGGGAACTTGCATCACCTACGATGCCGTCAACGCCGCCTACTTGGATGCACGCAAGCGAATTCGTGAGTAATAAAGATATAGTTATTTAATAATGGATCATTATGCTTAGCAAATTATAGCTGAATATTTTGGTATATATCATTTCGTTGTAACTCCTTGAGAAAATCAAAGGGCTATACTCTTAAAGAAATAATTATAATGAATTAGATACACTTATTTGTAAGCTTATTCTGTTCAAATTGGTCTTTGAAGGTTTAAATAAATCTTTTAAATAAATTCAAGCAAAGTCGAGACCAGCCCGTTCACTGCTAACCACTTCCTTTAATTTAAATGAGCTTCGCACTAATCCCATGTATTTTGTTGTTGCAGATGTGGCCCAACCAAAGTCGGACTGGAAGCCGGAGGAACTGGCCACTGTGGGCGAACTGCTGCTCGACATTTCCATCCAATTGGCCCGCACGTAAGTAATCAGCGCTAAACGCATTTGAAAGTTGCCCTGGCACGCCCACGATCCACATCTCCATCGCTCCAACTCCAACGACCATGTCCCTCGGCGCTAATAACGATTGCCAAATCACGCATGACAAGGCAGTTAAGTCGTGCACCACTGCTCTGTTCTGTGGAACGGTGCTCCACAGAGCCACTGCACCAGTAAACCACCGAAAAGACCGCCTGCAGTCATCAAATATGCATGAGCCTTTTCTTGCCTCCAAGGTTCTACGCTCGCCACAAATCGGTACTCAAGCTCGAAGGCATAGGCACAGATAGAAAAAAATTCTCTTTCAAACAAAAGCTGAATATTTCCTTTATTTAAAAAGGGTCTTTGTTATTTTCTAGTTATAGAAAAGCCGTTGTTAACCGTTGTTTAATTTAAATAATAATTGGTCCTCATAATATCCATCCAAAAACTGATCCATTTTTTCTGACTGTGTGCCTTGGTTCTTTTTGAAAGTTTGGCACATGCAAATGCTAATTGTCAGCGGCTTTGACTGATGGCCAGTAGTCGCTGGCAGCCGAAGAAGTGCATTCGAGAGCTCGTCGAAGCCTTCTTCCCAACTGGCGCAACCGCATTTTTGCCACACAGAAATATTTGCAGCTATTTGCGGAGCTCGCAGCGCCAAAATGTAAACAAATGCAAGCCCAGAGTCGGGCGGAGATGGGGGTTGGGGTTGGGGATGTGGATGTGGATGGAGATGCGGATGGCGATGACGATGGAGCTGGGGATTATGCAACGGACCGCTTTGGCTTGGCTAACAGCGAGTGAGCCAGTGAGCCAGTAAGCCAGTGAGAGTGCGCGTGACTCCCCTGAAAACGAAACCCTCGCCATGTGACTGCCCCCCACGAGAAGAAGCTGCGGAAGAAGCCGCTCAGCGTTTCCAGTTTGGTTTTCCAAGAGATTGGCCCCTGCACTGGGGGAGATTATAATAACTACAATTCCCCGCTTCATTACCAAAATCAAGCTTCAAGCCTCAAAATATCTTATTCAATAATAAACATTTTTCAACCATTATCTATTTAATATTTCTCGCTGTGCAGGGGAGTGGAATCTGGGTAAGCGGGTTGGCGAGTCAGTTGGCCACAGTTTTGCAGTCTTGGCTAGCCTTTAAGCTCACCACCTCCCCATGTGCGACTTTCACTCAGACCCGTTGTCTAAGACGGGCTTCGGGTCCTCTTCTTCGGCAGCATATTCATCTGCAGCTGCAACATCTGAATTGCAGTTGTATAATCTTTTGATTATGGCTAATAACATGTTGTAAAACGGCCATTGCAGAGGCTGCACCGCTGCCTGGCTTTTTTGGCATTCTATTGAGAGCGTGGAATAGCCCCAATAAATCAATGATGGACCATTATAGATCTCCGGTCTCTGCACTTCTTGTATACTTTCACGCTTTTCGACCCACAACACCCAGCTGAGGGTAAATTACAGACCCAATTGACTGTGAAGTTTCACGGTTTTTCACTTCCCAAATGCACAACAATGCAACTGCTGGCGGCCGGACGCCGTTTCCCTTTGGCTTTTCTCGCTTTCTCATGCACTCGAGGAAGAGCTGGTGTCGGTCCCTTTGGCGGCGGCACACTCTTCTCTCAGTTTCCTCCGCCAACTAAATACCAGTTTGTCAGCATAAAAAAAACCCAGATACCAATTGAAAGTATATAAAAATTTGCCACTGTCAACGTCAGGCATCAACTTCAATATCTGTCGGCCAGTCGAAAAGCGCGTTAATTGCGGTCCGTTTGCTAACTGGGCTAATACGATAATTTTGCAATTTTTCAATAAAAATCTCAAGCTTACACGTAGAAAAAGCGGCGACAGGAAAAGCCAAGTTGAGCGATATCCGCAGTTGCGTTTGGATGCAGCAATAATTACTCTTGACAGATTCGGTCAATATTTATCCGTTTCTAATTGTTTTCTTCAGCTACGGCTTGTCCTATGAGGAGATCGAGAAGGGTCTGCCCACCATTGACACATCGAAGACCCTGATTCGGGAGGTGTGTCCACCCTTCTTCGCCGGCGTGGAGTGTCGTCCGGGGAAGTACCGTCGCTTCGATGGTCTCTGCAACAACATCGAGCACCCCACCTGGGGGGCAGCCAATTCTCCATTCCAGCGCCTGATCGGACCGCTATATGCGGACGGTATCAACGCACCCAGAATCTCGGTGACTGGCCGGGATCTGCCCTTCTCCCGTGTGGTCTCCCGCACCATGCATCCCGACGACGGCTACCACGATCATGCCGGCACTGTGATGGTCATCGCCTGGGGCCAGTTCATGGATCACGATTTTACGCTCACGGGAACGCCGCTGGGTGAGTTGGTTAAGTAATTGATGAAAAGATCAAGGAATAAATTTAAGAGAATTTCGTTTAGGGAACTATGAAAATATATGTTTTTTACTTACTTGTCTAAAGCAAAGTCTTTGGAGGGATACTAAACATGCCTATTATTATTGATATTTGAAAATATATTAATTTGTGAAGATAAAACTTACATTTATCTATTAGACGTGATATTCTTGAAATTTATAAGTTGCAGCTTTAAAAATTACTGCTTTCGATTGAATAACGATTAAAAACTATATATATTTTAGGTATAATAAATTTGTTTATATTTTAATGGTGTGAACGGAGATCTAATGTTGGCGCAATCTCCGATTTCAGATCCCATTAACCGCAACGACCCCGAGGAGTGCTGCAAGCGGCCCATGCATCTGAAGCATCCGTACTGCAATGAGATCCGCGTGCCCGATGACGATTACTTCTACCGTCTGTTTAATGTCAAGTGCATTGATTTCGTGCGCGGTTTCCCCTCACCACGACCAGGCTGCAAATTGGGTGAGTTTTTTGTATTTTAAAACATAGAAAGAAAAAATCTATGAAATATATAGAAATATAAAAGATTGAAAGGAATAAATATTGTCTAATTTAAACGAAGAGATTGCTGAATTATATTTCGATTAAGATCACTTTGTCTAAATATTTGTATATAGGAATTTCCAAATATTTTATTTATTGTTAGAGATTTGAATATGTATTTTAACTCTTTTCTCCTTCAACTAACCAAATTCAACACTCCTTTTCAGGATCCCGTCAGCAGTTCAACACCTTGACCGGCGTGATTGATGCAAATACCGTTTACGGAGTAAAGGAGGCCTTTGCTCGGAAACTGCGAACTGGCTACGGCGGACTGATGCGCATGAATCCCGTGTTCCAGGAGTACGGTCTAAAGGATCTGCTGCCCCTCAAGCTGGACATTCCGGACGAGGGATGCACACGTCCCAACAAGAGCATGTACTGCTTCGAGGGCGGCGAAATCCGGGTGAACGAGCAGCTGGTGCTCACCTGCATGCACACCCTGATGGCCCGTGAGCACAACCGCCTGGCCACCGGCCTGTCGCAGATCAACAAGCACTGGGACGACGAGACCCTGTTCCAGGAGGCCCGACGCATCAACATTGCCATCGTCCAGCACGTGACATTCAACGAGTTCCTGCCCATTCTGCTGGGCAAGGAGGTGATGGAGAAGTTTGGTTTGGTTCTGCAGAAGGATGGCTACTGGGACGGCTATGACTCGACAGTGAATCCCGGCATCATTGACTCCTTTGCCGGAGCAGCCTTCCGCTTTGGCCACTCCCTGCTGCCCACTGCGGTGGAGCGGTGGTCCAAGGCCCACAAGTTCATTGCCTCGAAGCGACTGTCGGACCTCATTCGCAGACCCTACGACCTGTACCGCGCCGGAGTCCTGGACGAGTACTTTATGGGCCTGATGAACCAGGTGGCCCAGGCCATGGACGACTCGATCACGCAGGAGGTGACCAACCATCTGTTCAAGAAGGAGGGCGCCCGCTTCGGCATGGATCTGGTGTCGTTCAACATGCAGCGTGGCCGCGAGTTCGGCATTCCCGGCTACATGGAGTTCCGTAAATTCTGCGGACTGCCCACCTCAAACACCTGGGACGAGATGTACGGCTCCATGCCCAACGAGACGGTTCTGCGCTACGGCAGCATATTTGAGTTAGTATTATAGAGAGAATTAACTAATATTTTCCGGAAAAAAGTATTCAAAACTTATATAACTTCCAGGCACCCTGCTGATATTGATCTTTGGTCTGGCGGCGTCTCGGAGAAATCCCTGCCAGGTTCGATGCTGGGACCTACCTTTGCCTGTGTCATTGCCACCCAGATGAGTTACCTGCGTCGAGGAGACCGCTTCTGGTACGAGCTGCCCAATCAGCCATCCTCGTTTACCCCCGAGCAGCTACAGGAGATCCGAAAGGCGAAGCTATCCCGGCTGATCTGCGACAACACCGACTTGATTGATACCGTGCAGATCTACCCCATGGTTTTGCCAGATCACGAAATGTATGTATTGATTTATTAGATAAATTATTATAGTTTCGTTAATTATTCGCTTCAATTTTAGCAACCCCCGAGTGCCCTGCAAGAGCGGTATCATTCCCTCAATTGATCTGACCAAGTGGGCGGACTTTGGCGGCCATGGCGTAGATCCCTCACTCTATGTAAGTTTAAGTAAAGCTTTAATTATCATCCCTATACTTTACTATATTGGCATATATGCATTTCCCAGAACTACATCAATGAAATACCGGACACGCTGCTGAACTTTAGGAAGTAACTGCCATTTGTGTTTTCCACGTTTCGTTCAACAATCTCGTTTCATTTTTTGGCCACCACCGTCTGTATCTGTAGCTTCCGTCTCGGAACGTCCTGTTCTTTCCTTTTTCTCACTGCTTAGTCTCCTTACTAGTCTGTGCCCACCATCCACACCGCCCATTAAGCCCTTCTGTAGCCAGTCAGTAGTAGTTTTGACACTGCCATTCTCTCCAGAGCTCTTTCCAGCATTTCCGTGCATGCCCCATACATTCTCTGTATATATTATTATTAAATAGCAGAAATAGAGCGATTAAGTTAAAGCATATCGAAGCAATCGGAAAAAAGCGATAAAGAAAACATGAATAACTCTTAAAATATGTATCGATGTAAGTTTTGTATATGCGACTATTTTTTAAATAAAATTAAAAAAAAATTACATGGAGGAATTTATATGGGTTTAGGAGTATCCATAAAATGTGAGGTAAGTGGAGATTTGTGTATATTTTCCTTGAAATAACTATTTAAATTTGTAAAGACAAGAAAATATCTTTTAATCTCTTTAACCAAAAAGAAAAGTTTAAAGTTCTTTTAAAGAATTTGTTTATTTACTAAACAGTTATACATAATAGGAACTCTTTGGTTTCGCGCTGGAAATTCAGTTTTTTTTTTTGAGCAAAGTCAGTTTCATCATCGTTGTGGTCAACATCAGCAGCCAAGTTCGCCAAGATTCGTATTGAGCATCGCCTCGCATTGACCCAAATAAATCCACACCTGAGTCACAGGCCATAAAAGCACGCACATCCATATCCACACACCTCGCACACCGCACAAGAGCCGCTTCTTCGCTGGGAAGTTACTCGAGAGCATTTAGAAACGGAGCTATGGAGGCTATATCCTCGCAGTCGGGGATAGCCTTGCCCTTGAACTTGAGGCAGGATAGAGCACAAGTCTGACCCTGGAAGTAGTCACCCAGCATGGTCTTGCACTGGACGCAGTTATTTAGACAGACCTAAGGATAAAAAAGAGTAAAAATATAAATAACTTGGTTTTTATGAGAAATCCTTGACTTTATATTACTTTTCTCAGTTCTAAATGAATTTGATTGATTAGGAATTATGTTAAGTCAACGATTTTTGATTATCTAACAAAACTATTTTGGTAGTAACGAAAATCATTGTGTTTTTATCAACTTGTATTTTAAAAATATACTCTTAGCATTATATTTAAAAGTTTTTATCTACCAGTTTTACAATTTCAAAGGAGTAATACCCATTATTTCTGATTACCCACCTGAATGAAGTCAATGCCGCCCATGGAATCTAAAGGAAAAACACAAGATTAAAATTGTAAAATTAGTTTGAGAGTTTCTAGAGCTTAGTTGCTGCAGGAAACTTACCAAATCTCTTGTGCGTGTAATGCCCGATGGCGGGCAGTGCACCTCCATAGTGCACCAGACAGAGTGCAACTGCCACGAAAGTACACAAAATCAAGGGCTTGCAGTTCATGGTGATATCTATTCGAGACTCCAATAAGTTTTGGTTAGGAGAGCAGGCTGAATTGCGACCGTTGTCTGTCTAGAGCGGAGTGGAAATAATTATTATCGCTCGTTTGTCTTCTTATTTTATATATGCTCTCGGCCCAAACTCAGATGCGAAAGCTTAACAGCGTAAAGAAGCCCGAAGCAGCGGCAAAATACAAAATAAAAAAATATAAATAAAATAAAAAAAGCAACTGTGGAAGCCGGTCGCAGATGCGAGGCAAGTCGTCCGACCAGCCAGCCCCAGTGGCGCTAAGATACGTCAGATGTTTGAGCCAATCGAAAGCAGTACAAACTCAATAAAATATCCATTATAGTTGCTAAGCGTATGCAAATTGGCAAACGATACGCAAAAAAATATTGTATTTCTCTATATAGAAAAATGTTTGAATGCTGAATCTTGCATAATTTTCATGTGAATGGATTTAATGGCGTTTTTAGTGAGGGTATTTAGCAAACGGAATTTGAGGAATGCAAAGAAGTAGCTCCAATTAAGTCACACAGAAACAAGTATTTATAAATGGTGTTAAGATAATAAAAATATTTTTAAGATTTATTTGAGGATAAACATACAGAAATCTTTCTAGTCCCTCCTGCATCTTGTTATTTATTAACAAACCGATAAGGCTTATAAAAATTTCCCCGATTCTCAAGAGCAAACGAAAAAATTCACCGAACTTGGGAAAGAAAGTAAATGGCTAAAGCAAAAAGCTCTTTTCGAAAAAGCAACTATGGCATCAGGAAGTGTCGAGCGAACGGACACAGCCGAACTGAACTGAAATCGTAATGAATGCAAATCGTATGCGACTGGCGAGCCCATTAATTAATGGCGCTGTAAATGCAGTAAAAATATATATGGTTAAAATGTAAAGCGTAGAACGGACCCAAGACCAGATGCCCGATGATATGAGACATAAAGTAATAACTTAAATAGGAATTCTTTTGTCCTGCCTCCAACCGGACACGCTGCCGACTGGCAACTGGTTTCGATTTACAATTTAAGTATTCCGTGCGAAGTGAAACAGACAAAACAAAATATGGAAATATATGGCTATCGAATGGGCTGAAATAATCGTTGATACGGCGGTATCGTGGGAAAATTTTTAGTTATGTTAATTTTATGCGACACAAATTGTATGTTTCCTAACTAATTGGCAACACGCGCCGCATACGTTTGCGTATGAGTAATGGATAAAGCCCATGCGGCGTATACGTCACAAGCGATTTGTGGGCGTGACTCTTAAGACGGGGCTTAAGTTTTCGGACCAGTGACGTACATATGTGCAGAGGATCGACACTCAGTACCCGAGACACTATTACTTACCGGCAGTTGAGCGTTTGTTTGGCAGCAAAGGCGATGCTGAAGGCGTGGGCGTACGTTGGCAACACACGTTTGTTTGCCAGCAAACTGGTTCTAGAACAACTGCTGACGGATTGCAGAGTTCTTGTTGTATTTATACACGTTGGTGCGATTGCCGTGCTGCTGCTTAATGAATTTATCTCCCCAGCAAGTCCACCTAATTGAATATGTGCAAAGTGGGCAAAAATGTCACTTCCGCTGGCGGCAGTCGGTACACTTTCTTGAGTGTTTTTCACAGCGGTGTTCTGATTGAGATTCCGATTCTGATTCTGAGTACTGGATACTGGATAGTGGATACTGGATGTCACTTAGCCAGTTTAATTGCGTTTCTTTTGGCACTGCATTGGCTTTGGGCTGGGAAATCGTTTTACAAAAACAGGAAATCAGTCGAGCGAAAGGAGTTGCCTTTTTCCCGCATTTTTCTTTGTTTTTACCACTTGTTTAAATAATAATTTATTTCATTTAATTAATTCATTATAAACTGAATAAAAAACACACATTAGCATATGGAATACAGGCTTGTGTAAATGAAATGTTTGACGTAATAAAACCATTTAAATTATAATATTTTCTTTGTTTTGCGGCAGCTGGCATGTGCTCCGTTAATATATCGTAGAAAAAGAAATCATACCAAATCATACCGGCAGACAGTCTGATGAGGCTGTCGATCTCCGCCTCCAACTCCTTGACTTGCCATGAAACCCAAGTTAAATAGGAGAAATGAGGATAAACTGACTCCGACTTACCATATTTTCAAAATGCCATTTGGTGTCCTTCTTGGCAATCAGCTGAAAGGCCTCGTTGTCCAGAGGCATGCTATACTTTTGCAGCTCGTTGATCAGCCTCTTGAGCTTCTTCACATTCGCCTGATGCATCTCGTCGCGCTTCTCGGGGGTCAGGCCCACTTCCTCGCTGACAATGATGCCAAAGGAGCAAAGTGCACCCGCCGTCGAGAATAAGTTCTGCTTCTGTGGGACATTCGCGTTCTCGTCCATAAGCTCCAGCTCCACGACTTCACAGCGCGTTAGCACCTTGATCTGTGGCAAGTGGCGATGCAGGATGTCCTGGGACTCGGCGTTCTGGGCGAACAAAATGAGATGCGGATGGTGGCGCAGGCTGATCTCGTTGCGACTCTTCACCTGCCCCACGCTCTGGCCTCGTCCTCCCGCTTCTGGTCTCTCAATTCGGACATCTATAGGCTCGTGCTGCAGCAACTCGCTGGCTGCAAAGGGGGTGAACGAGGCCTGCAGACGGTCAAAGTGCCCACATGGATGTAGGCGCTGTCCTCGCGGTTGCTTATCGCCGTCTAGATGCTCTCCTGCATTCACGTTTAAGAGGTAATGGAAATTGTACTTGATGAAGCTATTGGGGACAATAGACAAGGTTTCCGCCAATCGGCCCAGGATCCAGCGATCCCACACGCCCAAGCAGAATCAGGCCAGCCGTGGAGGTCTTGAGCTCTTCGGGCTTCATAATGCCCGCCTTGCAGGACTGCTCCAGACCAGCCTTAAGGCGGATTTCGCTCCTTGCAACTCTCATCAGGCCAGACGGCCTGGGAACGGCAGCAGCGCCACCCAGTAGGCTGGGACTTGGTGGCGGCATCTATGCAGCCATTTGGCGAATCCGTTTGACTTGAAAGCAGTGTAGCAATTGACATTGGACTGCTTGGTTGAACTGCTTACTTTGCACTGGGAGAATAAAACGTAGATTTAAAAAACCAAAATTAAAAATTGTTTTTCTCTTTTCTTCAAGTTCAGAGAGTCTTATTTGCCAAGTTTGAGCAGATTTGTGAAGAGATAACATTGGACATTTTTGAAAAATTAACAAAATTGATTTATTTTGGCTTACTCTCTTGGTTTTCTGCTACAATCAGAGCAATTATCCTTATGATTAGGCCAACTTCATGAGGTAGCCCCGTTGTTTCACCGTCTGTTTTAGCGTAACATTTCGGAACCTCAGTCTAGAAACTTAGTCCGATTATTTCTTGAGAAGCTTCTCTTTTATCCCCGCAAGGAGTCGTCGTGGTTCTACATGTGACCAATGCCTCGGCTCCCAATCAGATGCTAGTGGCGGAGGATGCCCTGGGCAACCGCCCAGGCTAGGTAGAGTCACGTGCCTCGCAGCTGTTCCTGCTGGCGAGCTACGAATCCAGGCACTTTCTGACTTGGAACCTCACCTCTGGTGTTATTTTGGATGTGCTGGAGCTGGCTACGGAACCCACGACTTTGTATTATGACCCGGTGACTAATAGGGGCATTGTGGGTGGAGCCTATGAGTATCTTTTTGCTGATTTTATTTGTGGATCCATAAACTCAACTTACTTCTCGAAAAACGGTTTTTATTGAGTGGCAAAGGTCTATAAACTAATTTTAATTATTTTTGTGTATGCAAAAGGAATACAAAAGGGAAGCACATTGTAGATATTTTTCTATTATAAAGCTCGATCATTCAGTTGCTTATTGGCATTTATCGACTCCCTTTTGGGGCAATCAATTTCTCTTCAATATAAATCTCATTATTAAAGTGCTGGGCGGATTAAGCTTTTTTGTTGTGCCCCCTCCGGACGTGCGTTGAAATTGCTGAAAATCCACAACAGCAAACATTTCAACCAGGATGACCAGGACTCGAGTGTGTGTATTTGGGGGTGTGGCTGGCACACCACTACCAGCACCGAACCCCGCCGAACGGCGAAAACTTTTATTAGTTGCAGCGTTCTTCCCTCCCGATTTCCCCCATTTTCCCCACCGAACACCACAGCGAGTAAATCAGTAAACGATTTTCTTTATAGTGCAGCAGCATTTTCCAAGCAACTTCTCCATTATTTTTTTTCTTTTCGCCGATGACGACGTGGAGAGGAACTTTTATTTTAAACCAAAGCCAAAAGCCGAGGTTTTCGGACGCTTTATTTATGAACTTTGCCAGCTCCGTCGATGCGCCTCACATATCCCTTTCATCCGCCGCAATCACATTCTTTGTGCCGGCAGATATTGCAGGCACGTAAGCATTAAATTTTTTAGCCATACAATATGGTCATTGTGCCACTGATTTAGCTCCAAGATATATGGCTATATGTTGCCGGCTCTTGCCGGGCATGACAAAAGAGCGATGAAGCCTATTTTGTAGCTGCAACTTTGCCAGGTCGAGCTGAAACTTTATTTAAATGCAACCACAGTTGTGGCTAGGATAATAGCTCTGAAACTCTTTTAGAAATGTAACATGTTTCTGGAGAAAACTTTGTATGTGGAAGATGGATTTAATTTGGGGTTTATTTTTAAATACATTTAAATCATTTGTTTTTCGTTTAAAGAAGTGATTTGTTTTTGGCAACACTATGTAGTTTCTACTAGCGTATACTCTTGAAACCCAAGTATTATGCAGCTAAATTATATTTCTAAACATTTTATTTAAATTTAAGATGAACCCTTTAATACTATTGCTTTAACCTGAGCTGTCAGCCTCGTTATCCTCTCATTTTATCCAATCCCGGATGGAGCGGATGGCAACTCTTAATATAGTTTCACTTGTTAATAATAAAGTTTGGAGTATTTTTAACTATGTCCCCGAAAAATAAAGGCCGGCCATGAGTATAATTAGTGTAGTAAGCCTTT